CAGTCTTTGACAAGTCTTTTGTAAAAACAAAAATAAAAAAAATGTTCCCTGAAATAGATCCAACATCAATCATGAGGCCCGCTGCCACCACCAACCCGAAAGAAGAAAAAAAAAAAAACGCTCCGCTCTCGATGCTGGCTCCCACCGTCTGACAGCTGCGCTGGGATGACAGTTCTTAAATACTGTGGTGACATCACAAGGGAGCAGGGTCACCCCTGCCCTCCTGTGATGTCATCATTTGCTGTGATTGGCCAAAGCATTGCACCTGACCTGTGGTCAGGTGCATTGTTCTGGTCAATTACAATGCACTGTTAGGGTGCAGTGCATTGTGGGGCGCTGCGGGCGAACAGCCTGCTGAACGTCCTTACCGTTTGTGTATTTGCCAAGCGCAGGAATGACCGATGTTTGAGTCGAACTTATGTTCGACTTGAACATCTAGTCCAGTCCTAGTAAGGGTTATGGTGGAATGTGTCTTCAAAGAAGTAGTTATCCCTCTCCGTAACATTATGGAGGACCTAGGTCACGCTAAGTACAATAATAGCATTTTCCGGAGTCATTTAGATAGTTTAGTGCAATATCTGCCATTTGTTTGCCAGGATACCAAATATGCACTCAACCATTCTAAAAGCATGGCATAATCTGTAGTTGAATATGTGTTTATGTCAATTTGGAAATAGGAGTGCAATAAATATTTACCCTACCAACATGCCTCTTTGTGCATACAGACAAAAGAGTATGCTGGCTGTGTTGTTCCATGACATTATCCATCTTCTGGAATATAGTGTTCATTATTCCTCAACCACTATGCAATTTTGGAATAGTTGAAGTGTATCTAAACCCGAAACTAAAAATGTAATATCAAAGGAAGGTCCAGGAGGCAGCACTGAAATACACTTCCACTTTACTGTTCTAGAGACAGCATAAAAACACCATACGGTACAATGTACCAGTGGGGGAGAAAGGTTCATGTATTTCACCCTAACCTCAGCACTCAATCATAATTGTTAAGTGTGATTAAGCAATGAGGTTAGTGTAAAATGATTAAGTGCTACCGTGAAACGCAGGAACCTTTGTCCCCCACTGGTGCGTTATACTGTATGGTGTTTTTAGCTGTCTATAGAACATTAAAGTGGACGCATGTTTCAGTGCTGCCTTCTGGACCTTCCTTTGATTTCTGCACAGGTGTGCAAACTGGGCCACCACACATGCTGAAGGAGTGCAGGGTTTTCAATAAGTGAGCCTACCTTGAGAAGCACTATCTTGTTTTAAAAATGTAATATATTACGGCTTACTAGTAATTCATCCCCCATATAGTAATTCTATCCCCCTTTCCTATATCATCCCCCATAAGTAATTCATCCCCATAGTAATTCATCCCCATTCATAGTAATTCATCCCCCATTTGACTTGAGGGCCATAATTCATCCCGGGGGCCGGACCCATAGTAGTAATTCATCCCCCATATAGTAATTCATCCCCCATATAAGCATAGTAATTAATCCCCATATAGTAATTCATCCCCCATATAGTAATTCATCCCCCATAGTAATTCATCCCCCATATAGTAATTCATCCCCCATAGTAATTCATCCCCCATATAGTAATTCATCCCCCATAGTAATTCATCCCCCATATAGTAATTCATCCCCCATAGTAATTCATCCCCCATATAGTAATTCATCCCCCATAGTAATTCATCCCCCATATAGTAATTCATCCCCCATAGTAATTCATCCCCCATATAGTAATTCATCCCCCATATAGTAATTCATCCCCCATAGTAATTCATCCCCCATATAGTAATTCATCCCCCATAGTAATTCATCCCCCATATAGTAATTCATACCCCATAGTAATTCATCCCCCATATAGTAATTCATCCCCATATAGTAATTCATCCCCCATAGTAATTCATCCCCCATATAGTAATTCATCCCCCATATAGTAATTCATCCCCCATAGTAATTCATCCCCCATATAGTAATTCATCCCCCATATAGTAATTCATCCCCCATAGTAATTCATCCCCCATATAGTAATTCATCATCCCCCATATAGTAATTCATTATAGTAATTCCCCATATTAATTCATCCCCCATATTAATTCATCCCTCATATAGTATTTCATCCCCCACAGTACTATTCCCCCCAAGTAGTAAGCCAAGTCCCCCCTGTGTCAATTCACTTACCTTTGCTCCGCGCGTTCCTCTCGCCGTGTTCCCGCGCCGTTCCGGTCTTCAGGGTGGACTGTGAGAGGAGCCTAGCTCCCCTCACGTTCCTCACGCTGCCCCGCCTACACACATTCTGACAGCCGATGTTTGCCACGCTCCGCGGGCCGGATTAAAAGGTCTGCCGGCCGTAGTTTGCCCATTGCTGTTCTAGAAGGTGCTCAAAGCAAAAAACAAAAAAACCCCAAATAAATATGAGTACATGTAAAAACCTGAGCAAGAAATGCAACAAATATTGCAAACATCACACTACCTTTGATTTGACATCTGGCTGTAATTTAAAACCATGTTGGGATGATCTTAAAGGTCACTGTAAATGGTCCTTTAATTTCCATCAACAGAAGATGCACCCAAAAATTATGTTTCTGATGAGTTCGTCTTCTTAAAATAGCAATCGCAAGTACAAAGTTAATGTAATACAAGACATTGAAAAATGAATAAAGCCAATTCTCCAAATACATTCCACACATAAATCAATGAGAAGTATGTTGAAGAATAAATTGACCTCAAAGGAAATGTTCCTTTAGTAAAGACTGATTTAGGAAAAATAAACACACCATAACATATCAAAAATGCATTGCAATGCATTAAAAATTGCAATACTGTAATAAATATTAGCAAATGTGAACATGTTTGCTGAAACGTACATGCTGTGAGGTGTAATTGGGTCCTAAGAGAACCTAGTACTATCTACCACACCTCGTGTCACTCATAATTAGATCAATTACTTATAGGAAGCATTACTTCTGGATTCAAGTAGACTGTCTCTAGATCTTTGTGTGTTTCTTGTATGTTGTGTTAACCTTCTGTCAGTTAGTTTGTGTGTATATCCTGATCTGCCTAGATGTTTCTCCTGTATTTGTCACTTTATTCTGCTCCATTGCTTTCTCACCTGTCTTTTTCTGGCAGTGTCTATAGATGATTGTGCATTGTTATCTAGCAGCTTTCAAGTGGGCTCTTTGTAATCCATGAAGCACACACAAAACTTCTCACTTGTCACTTAACGGGTATTTTCTGAAGCCTGTGCTGTGTAACCCTATCTCTGACTTTACCAATCACACTCCATTTTTTAAGGCAAATTTCTTTGTCACCGGTGGCTGAGAGGAACTTCTTACTCTTGAAATGTTTTTTCCATGTTAGGCTTTTGTATGAGAGAGACAGTAATAACCATTAAATTATAACTAAACCCAAGAACAACAATGCAATACATTTCAGTTTACAGTCTTTAGATGTGGTGTCCTCAGTTTTCTTTTTTTTTTAAAACAACAATTTCAGTAACTACAGAAAATACTTGCTTGCCAGAAATATTGTGTCCTTGTTACTTCCTGTGAACTGCACCAAAGAATATTTTCCTTTGTGGTTATCTTCTGTAATCTACCACTCATCCTGCCTCACATGTAATGGAGATTACAAACATGTTTGTAGTCCATATCAGGAATGCAGTTTAGGGTGACAGCCATGGTTCCCTCCATAGCTACAATGGAGCAGTGATGTAGACACTAGAGATGAGCGAATTATTCAAAAATTCGGTTCGGCTGATTTGCCGAATTCGCCGAATAAATTCGCTTCGAGCCGAATATATTCGCTGCGAATTTAACTTATAAAAAGGGTGTTTCTAGGCTTCAGAGAGCCTTTATATTAGTGCAGAACACTGTACCTTTAATTTAAATGCCCTTGGAGTCTGCTGGGGAAGAGAAATAATACTGTCAGTCAGTATGACATGCAGATGAGTGCCGTCGATCTTAGAATCACCGCACACTTCACTCATTTGGGCAGTCACGGGGCCAAAACCAGAGTGTGGAGCCACAGTGTGGAGGCAGCAGCAATGGGAGGCCATACAGCACCCTATGACAAAATGGAACCCACCAGCAGTGTGAGGAGACCTGAAAGTGGCACATGGCAGAGTGTGGCGATGGAGACAGCAGCAATGGGAGGCCGTACAGGGACCCATGACACACTCTGGACCTGGCAGCAGCATGAGGAGGCGGTACAGGGGCCCATGACAGATTACGGGCCTGGCAGCAGCATGAGGAGTCGGTACGGGGGCCCATGGCAGATTACGGGCCTGGCAGCAGCATGAGGAGGCGGTACAGGGGCCCATGGCAGAGTGGCGGAGCGTAAGCAGCTAAAATTGAAGGCCATACAGAGGCCTATGTTAAAAAGTCCCCCCAGCAGCAGCGTGGGGAGACGACTATCAAGAGTCCAATGGCAGAGTGGCGGAGCAGAAGCAGCTTCAATTGAAGGCCATACACAGGCCTAGGTTTAAAAGTCCCTCACAGTTAATTCCAATAACGAACTCTACTCCTCCGTGCAATCTACTTACGAGACCCTGGGCAGGTCTGGGTCCAATTTGTGGTAGAGACTGGTTTTGTTCAGCCATGCTTGAGCGAGTAATAACAGGTCTGTGCTGCCCTTTGGTGTCTGGCTTAATGCGCACAACACTGAACGTCCCAGCGTTTGTCAACGATTTGCTGTTAAGTGATGCAAACCCGCTGAACCACGTTCATGAGGAGCCGGTACAGGGGGCCATGAATCAGTATGGACCTGGCAGCAGCGTGAGCAGACGACAGAGGCACATGGCGCAGGGTGGCGGTGTAGGCAGCATTATTCTGAAGCCATACACAGGCCTAGGTTAAAAAGCGGAAGCCGTCAGCAGCGTGAGCAGACGACAGAGACACATGGCGCAGGGTGGCGGTTGATGCAGCAGTATTCGGAAGCCAAACACAGCCTCGGTTAAAAAGCGGAAGCCGTCAGCAGCGTGAGCAGACGACAGAGGCACATGGCGCAGGGTGGCGGTGGAGGCAGCAGCAATGGAAGGCCATACAGCACCCTATCACAAAATGGAACCCACCAACAGTGTAAGGAGACCTGAAAGTGGCACATGGCAGAGTCTGGCGATGAAGTCAGCAGCAATGGGAGGCCGTACAGGGACCCATGACACACTCTGGACCTGGCAGCAGCAAGAGGAGGCGGTACAGGGGCCCATGGCAGAGTGGCGAAGCGTAAGCAGCTTAAATTGAAGGCCATACAGAGGCCTATGTTAAAAAGTCCCCCCAGCAGCAGTGTGGGGAGACGACTATCAAGAGTCCAATGGCAGAGTGGCGGAGCAGAAGCAGCTTCAATTGAAGGCCATACACAGGCCTAGGTTAAAAAGTCCCCCCAGCAGCAGCGTGGGGAGACGACTATCAAGAGTCCAATGGCAGAGTGGCGGAGCGAAAGCAGCTTCAATTGAAGGCCATACACAGGCCTAGGTTAAAAAGTCCCCCCAGCAGCAGTGTGGGGAGACGACTATCAAGAGTCCAATGGCTGAGTGGCGATCCGGGAAGTCAGCGTTGTGATTGCAGATGCAATGCAGAAATTCTACGAAGTAATGTCGTGGGTGCGAAGAAGATCATATACCGTCGTACTTCCATCCATAAGACGGAACAACCTGCGAACCGGGAGCTTTATTGCCCTGACCCGCTGAGCAGCTTCTGGGATACCCAAGAGGCCCATGGCAGAGTGGCGGAGCGTAAGCAGCTTCAATTAAAGGCCATACAGAGGCCTATGTTAAAAAGTCCCCCCAGCAGCAGTGTGGGGAGACGACTATCAAGAGTCCAATGGCTGAGTGGCGATCCGGGAAGTCAGCGTTGTGATTGCAGATAAAATGCAGAAATTCTACGAAGTAATGCCGTGGGTGCGAAGAAGATCATATACCGTCGTACTTCCATCCATAAGACGGAACAACCTGCGAACCGGGAGCTTTATTGCCCTGACCCGCTGAGCAGCTTCTGGGATACCCAAGAGTTTGGCTTCTGTGGGGAATATGGTTGAAAACTGAAACTTAAAGGCATGTTGACGGAAGGGCACCAGTGTCAGTGCTCCGGAGGGAATATAGCTTCAAAGCTGACACTTAAAGGTATATCGACGGTCAGAGACCACAGGAAGTGGAGCTTGCGTCTTAAATCGACTGAATGTGGCAGACGTGAAACGTCTACGGGCCGTATATGAAACGGGTTGTTCCTCTTTCTGGAATAAGTGTTGGAAATGGCCACTCTTTTTGGTGTGGCGTTTTGTCTATTTAATTCCGATAACGGACTCTACTCCTCCGTGCAATCTAGTTACGAGACCCTGGGCAGGTCTGGGTCCAATTTGTGGTAGAGACTGGTTTTGTTCAGCCATGCTTGAGCGAGTAATAACAGGTCTGTGCTGCCCTTTGGTGTCTGGCTTAATGCGCACAACACTGAACGTCCCAGCATTTGTCAACGATTTTCCGTTAAGTGATGCAAACCCGCTGAACCACGTTCATGAGGAGCCGGTACAAGGGGCCATGAATCAGTATGGACCTGGCAGCAGTGTGAGGAGACCCGAAAGTGGCACATGGCGCAGGGTGGCGGTGGAGGCAGCAGTATTCGGAAGACATACACAGGACTAGTTTAAAAAGCGGAAGCCGTCAGCAGCGTGAGCAGACGACAGAGGCACATGGCGCAGGGTGGCGGTGGAGGCAGCAGTATTCGGAAGCCATACACAGGCCTAGGTTAAAAAGCGGAAGCCGTCAGCAGCAAGTGAGCAGACGACAGAGGCACATGGCGCAGGGTGGCAGTGGAGGCAGCAGTATTCGGAAGCCATACACAGGCCTAGGTTTAAAACTGGAACCCAGCAGCGTGAGCAGACGACAAATACGCACATGGCAGAGGATGGATCTGGCAGCAGTATGAGAAGGCGGTACAGGGGCCCGTGGCACAGTGTGGTGATGGGGGCTACAGCAACTGGATGCCAGAAAGTGGCCGATAGGGCTATATACTGCATGGAATTATAAAGTTGTAAAGACAGCGGCCTATAAGGCTATACACACTATAACAATCATGACTTGATTGACCATTGGCCTATAAGGCTATACACAGCATGAATATCATGACTTATTCTGAGAGTGGTTTGGAAGGCTATATACAAAAAGTAATTCATGAGCTGTCTGGACAGCGGACAATAAGTACATATATACAAATCAATTCATCAGCTGTCCAGCTAGCGGCCTCAAAGGCGACACATATAGAAAGCAATTCATGAGCTGTTCAGACAGCGGCCTCTAAGGCGACAGATATACAAAGCAATTCCCGAGGTGCAGCTTGCCGTTGGCTGTAAACTGTACGTTTATGTCACTGGAATGCACTAATCACCCAAAAAATATTACCGCCAGCCGGCGTGTAAATGGATTTAACTCTTTGAACGTACAATAGTGGTTGTGAAGCAGAAAGTCAGTTTATTTAGCACAATCGGTCAATTGCAGCTTGCCGTTGGCTGGAAACTGTACGTTTATGTCACTGGAATGCACTAATCACCCAAAAAATATTACCGCCACCCGGCGTGTAAATGGATCTAACTCTTTTGAACGTACAATAGTGGTTGTGAAGCAGAAAGTCAGTTTATTTAGCACAGTCGATCAATTGCAGCTTGCCGTTGGCTGGAAACTGTACGTTTATGTCACTGGAATGCACTAATCACCCAAAAAATATTACCGCCACCCGGCGTGTATATGGATTTAACTCTTTGAACGTACAATAGTGGTTGTGAAGCAGAAAGTCAGTTTATTTAGCACAATCGGTCAATTGCAGCTTGCCGTTGGCTGGAAACTGTACGTTTATGTCACTGGAAATGCACTAATCACCCAAAAAATATTACCGCGCCACCCGGCGTGTAAATGGATCTAACTCTTTGAACGTACAATAGTGGTTGTGAAGCAGAAAGTCAGTTTATTTAGCACAGTCGATCAATTGCAGCTTGCCGTTGGCTGGAAACTGTACGTTTATGTCACTGGAATGCACTAATCACCCAAAAAATATTACCGCCACCCGGCGTGTAAATGGATCTAACTCTTTGAACGTACAATAGTGGTTGTGAAGCAGAAAGTCAGTTTATTGTACACAATCGGTCAATTGCAGCTTGCCGTTGGCTGGAAACTGTACGTTTGTGTCACTGGAATGCACTAATCACCCAAAAAATATTACCGCCAGCCGGCGTGTAAATGGATTTAACTCTTTGAACGTACAATAGTGGTTGTGAAGCAGAAAGTCAGTTTATTTTGCACAATCGGCAAACTGCAGCACCAACTGTGCACGACAGCCACCAAAAAAAAAAAAGGGTGTATGTCACTTTAAATTTTCGATTCTTTGATAGCTGTGGCCCTAAGTAACGATTCTGTGTCCCTGAGTAACGATTCTGTGTCCCTGAGTAACGATTCTGTGTCCCTGAGTAACGATTTTGTGGCCCTAAACTCTCTGTGGCCCTAACTCTGTCCCTTAATACACACAGGTCTGTCTCTCTTGAATGACCGGAGGCTAATGAAGAATTCTAAGATGGCCGCGATTTATAGCTCCACCATTACACAGTGCTGGCTGGCTGCTGATTGGCTAATGCGATCACATGTTATGAATGCATTATGGGTCAGCGCGCCTTGTCTGCGCGCCTTCCCAGAGATCCCCACCCCATCTTCTCTGTCCATTTTCTCCGTCGCCACACATGTCGCCGCCATTTTTGGGAAAATTTGATTTGTGCATCCGAAGTTTGCTAATCTTCGGATTCGTCGCGAATAGAATTTTTCCAAATCTTCGGAACGAATTCCACTTCGTCATGTTCGATTCGCTCATCTCTAGTATACACCAAAGGACAGGAAATGTGTTATTTGCTGGATTATTAGAACATAAAGAATAAAAATGTTTAAAAAAATGCAGCCACTATATCAAGGACTAGTAAACTGCAATATGTTCACTTTTTGATTTTGGGTTTAGAGACAATTAAAGAGGGCCTTCTCAGGTCATCAAAATTTTAACGTAACAAAAAGGGTTTTGGCGAACTAGTGAACAGTTACACCTTGGCAAAAAAAACAAAACAAACTGAAGCACTCAGCACGTAAGTGTTCCTTGTGTGCAATTGTAGCCAGGTGCTTGGCTAACTTGTTAAGTTAAGATGTCATTCGGAGAGTGAGAGAAACACTGGCTGCAGCTGTTCTCTGTTGCTGTTGCCCTGTGTTGCTGAACTGGTTAACAGATATGTCAGCAAGAGGAGGGAGCTGCTTAGCAAGAAGCATTCAATAGACTGAGTCAGGCAGCACTGCACTGTAGGAACTGTAGTCCAAAGGAGAGAGACTCTACTATAAACAAGAATTTTTGAATTGCATTCCTCAGAGATAGATTTCCAGGAGGTGGAGAGCAAACTGCATTTCCCTGGCTGTGCAAGACTTTATTTCCTCTTACTGTGAGGGAGACTGGGGAGTGCACATTGCTGTCCAGTGTGCACCATCATTGCTGAATATCGGTGGCCTGAGTGGGACCTGGAGCACAGAATTCAGAGATATCGACCTCCAAGGTCACCTGGTGCAGAGCAGAGAGTGGAATAATCACTGTGTGTCACCGGATGGTGAGCTGCAGTATCACTGGGACCGGGTGATCCGCTGCTCTGGGAATTACCGTACTATCTGCTGCTAGAGAGACAAAGCACTTTGAAAACTGACCATACAGCCATCTAGTAGCTCTTGATTGCTGCCTGCAGGCCTATTCTTATGTGCAGCAATGGTACCACTGGGTTCCAATGCTAGCTGTCTAATGAGTTAGAACTAAAGACTGCCCTTTCACAGCTGCTATACAGACCTTCATCTATTGCCTATTCTAAGAGGTACCTCTCAGTGGACATTGCACCATATCCTAGCCATTCTCCTAGAGTGCACTCTAAACTAGTTCTAGGCCATTTTCCAAGAAAAAAAATGCTGATTTTAACATGTATGGGAGAAATCCCAGAATTGCAGTGGGCTTTAAGTGGTTTTAAAACCAGAGCTGAAGCAGATGTCACATCCACATACCACTCATTGAATCTGATCTATCAAGGAAATAGAGGTTATTTACTTAACACAGTGTTTGTTTTACTTTCCAAAGTGGTTGTTAGTGAATAAGGTGAACCTATGAAAATTTCAATTAATTAAAAATTCAGCTTTCCAATTCAACAGCATTTACTCCTTCGTCAACCCCAGTAAGTGATTAGAAAGCAAGAGATATTGACCTTAAAGAAAAAGTCTGACATATGTTAAAATTTGTGGAAGTGATTTTAGAGCAGTAATCTCACAAATAACAATATAAAAATGAATAACACATTAAAAGATAAAAGAACAAAACCATCTTATATATGGCCTCAGTCCAGAGAGAGATTTCCCTGCAGACCTTTTTTTTTGGCTGTTAGATGTCCTCAGTCTGATGGCTAGCACTGTTCAACCCCACTTCCTCTGAGCTCAGATCATCCTATACTCTCCACAGCCTGTGATTGGACACTGAAAAGAGGATCAGCGTAGCAATGAGCTTATCTTGATGTCATCTTCCTTTCTTGTCCTATTAACATGCATAAACTGCTTGACTTCTGGTGCTGCTGCTTCCTCTCGCACTCCAGCCTTGCTGTACAGGGAATGTAAGAGGGTGGAATCAGGTTAAATTCAGGTACCTACACCATTTATATTAAAAAAGATGTATGTTTTTATTGATTACAGGACAGAATTTATTTGTGTAGTTGATATCTGTCTCAAATTAAAGAATAATTGTATGCCATGATTTAAGGTTTTTGCATAATCAACTTTGCCAGTGGCTTGATTACCAGAAACAAATATGGGTAGTCACAGGATACACCTGTCTTTTTATCATGGCTATCATTACTGTCAGCCTGACAAGTAATATTACATTAAAGGCAATTCCATGCAACCGTGAAGCAGCCTGGAAGATACTGCAGATAAGGTGAGTATTGCAATAAGAGCTACTTTTTATCTTTAGTACTTCAGGGCATTTTATTTTTACTTTCTTTGTGGAGCTGGAGTTCTGTGTATGTATATTTTGAGTAAAAATGTGTGTCATCTGTAGTGCTATATCTGTCTCAAAATTTTGCAAAACCATCTCAGTTGAATGCAGGATTTGCAAATACACAAAAACTGCCACATAGACTTCACTAAATATGAGGCACCCTGATTTACAATAGACGTGCGTCTTATTTTTTCACTAATTTGCTTGATAAATGTCTCTCCTTCTCTGAATCAGCTTAAAAGGGGTTTTAAAACAATTCAAAGAGTGTGTAGAATATAGTTATGCTTTCATAAAAAAAGTAACCATGTTTCATTAAAAGAAGGTTGTGTCCAGGGGCGGACTGACCATTTGGAAACTCGGGCACTGCCCGAGGGCCCAGGGTCAGTAGGGGGCCCCGTGGGATGCCCCTGATACCCCTTTCATAGGCTTTTTTTGAGTTTTGGGCAAGGACATAGGTCATGATCCCATATTGCCCGGGGGCCCCGTGAGTTGTCAGTCCACCCCTGGTTGTGTCTTCTATATGGATTTACAGGAGTGTTCCATTATGGAAA